GAGAGAGAGAGAGAGAGAGAGAGAGAGAGTATTAATGTATTTTTTAAAAATGTAATTGACTACAAAGCTACAAAAATTTATAATCAATTAATAGTATTAATTAAGAAAATATAATAAAAATTAATAAATTAGATTCAAATGATGTTTTATTTTAAACAACAATTTTTAAATCTTGTCCAATCCTTAACATCTTATGACTACGTGATTATGATTGTCAAAACGACTCTTTATTCGTGAACAGCTCGTGTTCGGCTAACGTGTCGTACACGAATACACTTTTTGAGCTCGAAATATAAAGGAGCCGAACACGAGCTGAGTTTGGGCTCACTCGTGTTGGACTCGTTTACACCCCTAGTTGGTGGTATTGGGAGGTGCAATATAACTCAAATATCACCCGAATATCATGATGCACACATGCACCCGGTGCACACAATATCTACTCTACTATCAGAGCTCTAATTTTAATTAGTGGAGGGATCAATTTAACACTTTCATAAATTATGAAATTAAATCGGTCCCATATAAATAGTCAAAGGGATTGATTTGACATTGTGCTCGTTAAACATTCAAATGTACATAATTTATAAATAATTTGTAGCAAACTAATTATTAAATAAATTTAAGAGATGTGAGGTTAGTTCTAAAAAAATTAATTTTATATCAATCATATTTTTGTATTATATAATTATTGGTGAGTCATGCAAAGTCTTTGGAAAGTAGGAAGGGAGACTTTCTCTCAAATTAAAAGAATTAAGTTCGAACATTCTAATTATTAATTATTAATTAAATTATTATTAAGACTGAACTTTCCCTAAAAAATTATTGGTGAGTTTATTATTTTAATGTTCGGATGACCCAAATTATACAAAGGAGCACATGAAATGAGGTTATTAATGATAGGAATTAGGAACTTTTAAAATAATAATAAATATGTGCCGATGGTAAAGGCATTTTCATTTAACATTTTATTTTAAAATATATGCTTTTGCCAAAAAGGGCTATTTATTTAATTAGTTTTTTTTTTAATATTTGATACGCTATCAACAAAATCTCATATGCAGGAATGAATCCTAAAGCATGTCACGGATCTTAAAGCAATCTTTTAAGAGAAAACTGTTCAAACGTCGATTAAAGATTCATCCAAAAACTCTGATTCCAGGTAAACTTATAATTAAATTGACCGGTTCAACTAGACGGACCAAATGATACCCAAAATTGGTCTCATCCGAGTCAAATCAAGTTCATATCAGAATATTAAACCAGATTTAGAAGTTTTTCGGGCATATTTGGAAAATCAAATGAACTCTGAATCTGGCGAGCCCGTAGTCGAATCAAGCGTCTTAATAAGAAGAATCCAACAACTACTACAATCATTGAATACAACACTCATAACAAATTACTACCTCCACGAGAATCAACCATAACCCTCGCAGTCTATTGTCACCAACAACTATAACCAAATTATGAATATCCAACTTTATAATTCTAATCTTTTAAGAGAAAACTGTTCAAACGTCGATTAAGATTCATCCAAAAACTCTGACTTCAGGTATACTTATAATTAAATTTACATGTTCAACTAGACGGACCCAATGATACCCAAAATTGATCTCATCCGAGTCAAATCAAGTTCATATCAGAATATTAAACCAGATTTAGAAGTTTTTCGGGCATATTTGGAAAATCAAATGAACTCTGAATCTGGCGAGCCAGTAGTCGAATCAAGCGTCTTAATAAGAAGAATCCAACAACTACTACAATCATTGTATACAACACTCATAACAAATTACTACCTTCACGAAAATCAACCATAACCCTCACAGTCTATTGTCAATAATAACTACAGCCAAATTACGGATATCCACCTTTATAATTCTATATTCTCTACTTCAGGAGAAGTGTAGACATATTTACTCTCCATTCATAATGTATTATTTCAACTGGATTATCCCCCAATTTAACTAGATTTTATTTTGATTAGAATTTTGTATTAAATAAAAAAGAATAATCACTAATCTCAATTAAACTAAAATTAATCAAACAATATCACAAACTTTTATTTAATTAAAAAATAACTTCTTTTATTTATTTTTTAATTAAATACCGAGACTAGAATTAAAATTGAAATAATAAGCTAAAACATACTACAAAATGAACTCCAAGTAAATCAACAAACATGCTTTTTTGAATCTCTTCATTAAATAATAATAATAATAATAATAATAATAATAATAATAATAATAATAAACATCATAAGAGATGCCAAAGAACCAAATTGCTGCAACAACAAGTTCGCTCATCTTCATCAGAATTCAATTACAAGTTCTGCCACCATAGATTTACAAAAGAAATATCACAACATACTTCAAATAAACAAAAAATAAAATATGAAAAAAAGTGCAGAGTGACAGATCATTCTAACACACTACTCTCAGCCACCCCAACCCCCACTCTATTGCTCATGAGTCGATCAACAGCCACGAGGAATCAAAACCCACTTCTTCTCACCAACTCATCGTATATATCTATATATATTTCCTTCCCAGTATTCAATCAGAGCCTCAGAAAAACCAAACCAGATAGAAAAATGATTAGAAACAGAGAAAAGTTTGGATTTGGGAGAGAAGCAGCATCACTGCCATCTATGCTGGTGGCAGTTCCTGAAGGACCGAGACCTCCCAGAACTCCTCCTGCTCCACTTTGGGTTGGAGTCAAGCCGCTTGAACTTGAACCTGAGCCTGGGTTCTGTGTTGAGGTTCCATTACCAGTGCTGCTGCTGCTCCCTGCAGCACTGCAAAAAAAAAAAGGGAGAAAATAGAGAGACCAAATGTTTCAGATATCAACTAAAGAATCTAATGACTGATCATTTTTTAATAAGTAAGATTAGTTTAACATGTTATGTGACAAATCTTGGGTGACTTTGTGTCTATATGGGATAGCTTTCTGTTGTGTTTCAGACTGACATCATGATTATGTTTAAAGAATTTTTTTTAGAAATTTTTGTGATAAGGAGTTGTTTTTTTTTGTAATTAAATATGTTAAAATGTAATGACCGTAAGAAAACTGATGTTTCTCTTCAAGAAAAAAATAAAAAATAAAAATTATATAAGAAGTTGCTTTCCTCGCTGCATCTTTACAACCACCTTTACAAAAAATTGCAGCAGTCTCAAACGGTCGATTAACGTGGCTTAGATTTCACATGACCTATTAAACTCGCTAATGAGCTCAACCCATATGCTCTCCTTGCTTTAAGGAATCCTTAATCTCCTTTGAGAAAGTAACTCTAATTCTTCAATATTGATTATGCCATCTAATAAAGGATTTTGATCTCCGAATCTCTTATGGTGAATGATCTTTCATCTACTTTCCCGAAGTAGAAAGTATGGGGATGGCTCTTTAATTGAAACTATCAAATGGGTATTACACCCAGGGTGTAATGAATCATGATGTTGATGCTCATAGGAAGTCATAACCATCTAGGACTAAAATAAATCCTATTTATTTTTGCATCTGCCTTCATTTGAATTCTCATTGATACATTCAATTTGCTTCTTTTAACATCTTCTCTGCACTCAATCTAATAAAGAAGGACTAAATACTTGAGAAAATACAAATAATGGGCATGAATGAGAGATTAAGATTAAAAATTTGAGGTTATGGTTTTGTTTTCTATTTTTTGTGTTAGTTGTTAGCTAAAATGAAATATGATGCAAAGTAAAAGTGACATGGAGCATGGCATTTTTAAAGCATCTAAATAAAAAATTAAATTTCACTTTTAAGCTAACGGTGAAATAAACCGGTGAAATAAAATTACTCTAATTCACTCAGTTAATTTTTTTACTTTTAAATTTGGTGCAAAGTAGATAATGCAAGAGTTGACATCATTGTATTCCCCTGTTTTCCACAACAAACCAACAACTCCATGACGATTACTTGGTTCATTGAACTGGTGGTAGAATCAAGAGAATCTTATTCCTCCTAACATGACCTAATTCTATAAAATTATGAAGTGAGAGTCATATATCTTTTCTTAAAAAATAAATAACTCATGGGTTTATTTTACCTTTTGTAGTAAATTAAAAAAACCTTTAATGATTGCAAGCTTTATCTAATGGCCATGCATGATAAAGTTTAGAGAAATTTACGTACTTAGCGCACAGTTCTTATGGATTTACCATATCTCACACGTAAACTTTTATATTTACAAATATAGCACTTTGGTGCTTTAACCTATACATGAAAAGGTAGATTTTACTTTTATAAATTGGCTATTTTTCTTGTGATATTAAAGATTTGGGTGCTATGTGTATAAATATGAAAGTACAGGTGTAAGATATGTAAATACATAAAAATTGTGCGCTATGTATGTAAATGCTCCTAAACTTTAAATGGTTGAATGAACCACAGCCATCTGTTCGATTTAAGAGGAGTTTTTGCCAATCATGGCCAAATTCCATTAACCTATAAAGTGAAAGCCTGGTGCCTTTTTCTTAAACAAGTTGAGTAAGTGAGGAAAACACAAAGAAGAGCACTTATTCCTTTCATCTAATCCCAAAAGTCTCATATTCTATGCAACACAGCTCATAGACCACAAATATAAGTTTTGAAAAAGATAGAGCCTATAGATAATGAAGGAACCAAAACCACAACCAACTAATGAATGGTCCACTGAGAGAAAAATAAAAATAGCTTGATTAGGAAAAAATAAACATACAAGAGAGCATAACTAAGGTGAAATAGATTATTTTAGCCAAAACAAAGTAAAAAAAAACAATAATACCTTTGTGAGGAAGGATAAGAGCAGCCATTGCTACCTACAAGAGAAAAGAAAGAGTTATCAGCTTCCCTAATATAGCTACTTTAAGTGCCAAATAAAAATGCGAAATGAGGAGAAATACTTTAAAACTAAGTAACACATTTTAATAATGAGATGTTGGTCAAACACCTCTAGATACACCTCCAACATTATCTCAATGCTTTATGAACTTTAATTCTCCGTAGATCCCTACTTAGTATTTTATGAGGTGTTAAACATACTTTTCATAATTTCTTTATGCAACTTCGATATAAGCTTCAAGCTGCCTTTTTATTCCCTGATTCTTAAATGTCATTTACCTTCCTGACATATTAATGAGTTGTTCACCTGTTGTTTTACATGTACAAACCACTTCATCATCAACATATCCATAAATTTTCCCTAAAGAGCCACCATGATCTATTACAATCAATATATGAATTACAGAATCACAATAAATAGGGCACAAAATCTAACTTATTCGAAATAAAAAAGAGAATTTTTAGAATATAAAGAAAGGCATATGTCATCTAAATGCAAGCTCAGCTCAGCTCACACACTCAATCTCATCTTCAATAAAAGTTGCAGAAACTGTTGAATTGACAAGAGGCCATATTAACATGCACAAAAAGGTATTTTGCATTAATAAGACTAAATAAGTATTTAAATCTTTCAATTTGGGAATCCAAGCACTGCTTTTAAAAACACCATTGATTAATCCAACATTACTAGTTTTTCTACTGGCAGTGTTGATTAGCCTTAAAATGTCTTGAAATAGGCTTATATAAAGTAAGTGTACCCTGAATAAAAAAAAGATAAAATAGAGTCAGACTGAACATTACTTGGGTCAGTTTGGGTCATTACTGCAGTTCCAGCAAAGTCACAAGCTCCCTGAGCCTGACCCTTCCTCTGGTAGTAGCTGTTAGCAGCATATGTGCAGTGGGCAAGAACTGAATTAGGATTATAACAGGGGCCATTCTGCAGAATAGGATTACAATCAGCCCCAGCTCCACAGGCATAATCTATGGTTTTCTGAAGAGCAGAGTTGCTCGCATCTTGCCTACAAACACACCAAGCAGCATCTTCCATGGAGAAGAAGAAAAAGTTGCAAAATAACACAGGAAAAATGTCCATCAGTGTTCGGAACTTGAAGCAAATGTGAAGTAACAAAGCAAAACATCAACTGGTGAACAAGGAAGAAAAGAAAAAAAAAGCAAGTTTTTAATTTCGAGGTACGAGGAGATGGAAGAAGAATGTAGAACAACATGAAGCTTACAAGCTCTCCATTTCTTTTTTTTTTTGTTTTTAAACCCTTATCCCAGAGGAATTTATAATGGACTAACAAAATTTCTCTAAAAAACTAAAAATGTGGAATTTTAATTTCACATAACAACAGTTGGATTCAAAAAAAGAAAAAAGCTTTTCTTAAAAATTAAAGCTTTTACAAAGGAAAAATCCAGTGATAAAAAGTTTGGAGATAGAAATTAAAGCGAAGAGTGTTCCCACTCCAAGCAGGAAGATCGTATGGCCTCAAGAAAAAAAAAAAAAAAAAAAGAGGGAGGAGGTGGGAGGGTAGAGTTTGCGGGAAGATTTAGGTGCTGAAGCTTACCAGAAACACGAAGCACGGTGAGAAAGAGTGCTACGAACATCATAGCAGCCATGGAGGAGAAGCGTGGAAGAGCTCAGCCCCGAAGAGAAAGAAGGCAGAAAAAAGAGAACTACAAGAGAGAACGAACCCGAAAGGGAAAGCCTAACTCAAGTTGTCGTACTCTACTGCAACTCTGCTGCCACGAGCCGCTCTCTGTTTGTTACAACTTCAAAGAATAAACCACACTAAACTTGCTATTTACAAATCAACCATCATCTTCCATTCATTTTTCGAATTATTGTTCAAATATCAGAATTCATGATAAAATCTCTAAATAATTTAATAGTGGAAGGCATGCAGAAATATACCATTCGTATTTCAAAAAAAAAAAAAAAACCTATTCGCACCTTAAAACTTTACAAATAACAAAATAAATTCCTAAACTTCAAATATTTCAAAAAGCCACTAAAAACCTAAAACCTCTCTTTTTAGCCACCAAAGCCCCCCTCGCTCCCTCCTAATTAAAGTTGTCATCGTCCTGCGTGGCAGGCGAGCAACGAGATTTTTCTTTCGTGTTGCAGTGAAGAAAAAAGTAGGAGAAAGTTGTCCCTGTCATATGTAGCAAGCAAACAACGAGATCTTCTTTCGTGTTGCAGCTAAGAGGAACGTTGTCCTCGTCATGCATAACAAGCGAGCAACGGGAAGTTGTCTACGTCCTGTGTAATAGACGTGCAACGAGATCTTTTTTCACGTTGCTACGAAGAGAAAATCTTATCATGTCCTTTGTAGCAGGCGAGTAACTGTATTCTTTTTCATGTTACGATGTAAAAGAAAGTCTTCCCCATCCTATGTAACAGACGATCAATGAGATCTTCTTTCATGTTGCGGCGCAGAAAAAAAATTGTTCCCGCCCTGCATAGCAGATGACCAATAAAATCTTCTTTCGCATCAGTGAGATGAAGAAAGTTAT